TCAAAACCAACAGAACTTGAACCCATATTTGATTTATCTATGGCACTAACCTCCATATTCTTTTCCTCTGCATACAATCCTCCATTGAGATTCGAGCTCTTAACTTCAATGGCATCCTTATTGTTGAAACTCATACTTTTTTCCAAAGTACATTAAGAACCCAAATTCACATTTTCATTATTGAAATTCACATTAACTTTAGTGTTCTCATTGTTTCCATCCTCCTCGATTACATCTTGTTTCACTTTGACATCCATTTCCATCTAGCCACCTCTTCAAAATCCTCCTTAAAACTCTCAATCTCCATATCGCTCGCTTCCTCCATCTCAGCCTCGAAAACTTCAGCCAAATTTCCAAATTCCTAATCCTTGCAGTTCTCCACAAGATTGGGCACTGCAACAACTTCCCCGGTACCACCTTGTCTTCATCCTCGTCGCCGTCGCCACTCCTAATGATGACATGTAGTTTAGCCCTCGTCTTCTTTCGACCCATGATGACGATCAATCAAATCCTGAAACTCATTTTCGTTCTCCTTTTTGAAAAGAAGAAGTTGCCAATGACGAACTAGTGAATACGACGATGAAGAAGTGGCGATGGGTGTGGATGATGGAGGAGATAATTTTAGATTTCCAAAAGGCTTAGTATATATAATGAAGTGTATTCGTTACTATGCTCATCTCTACTATTAATTAATTATATATAAGGAAGTGTATTCGTTATATATATAACAAAGTGTATTTGTTACGATACTCATTCCTACTATTAATTAATTAAAATTAATTATGTGATAGCTAATGGGAAGGAAGAATTTGGATTGGGTTGGGCATATACATATATATAAAATACTTATCCTATTTAATGTATAGAGTAGCATTATATATATATACATAGAGAGAGAGAGATTAATTCTTGTCTTTGATGAGGTAGACAAAATTGAGTCCCCTCCCATTGAGATATTGTTTCTTGTTTCTAACCAGAATTTAGTAAAATATTCACTGGCTTTTCAACTCAAATGTAGACCGCTTTTCCCTTGAGATATAGATGGAAGCCTCTATGCTTGGCTTTGGGGGGATAATCCAATATTTGTACATAGATTATGCCTTTAAAGTTATGTTTTGAGTTCACACTATCATATAAGTGAGAACGAGATAATTTCAACATGAAACATTTAAGAAAAGTGTAGTCTCAAATGTTATAGGCAGTCGAGACCCATGAGATTATAATGACAATAATGATAAGTTAATGTTTCAATTAATCTAAATATCAGCATTTGGTATGGAACGATTAGTGTTGGATCACTGTTGCATGCTAGAGAACTTCAATTCAGAATTTACCAGCTTTTCTAGTGTCTCCTCTAAGAGGTTGGTGTACTCACTAAATGTGACAATAGGATTGTTATAATCAGGGCAGAAGCGTATTCTCAATCTCTATTAAAATCTAAATATAAGAATTTTAAGTTCCTACTCCTTTTTATCTCTCTCATCACTCCTGTTTACCTTTTTTTCTCTCATCTCATTCTTTGATAGTAAAGAATGACATGTCTATGTGAGAAGAGAAGAAAATTTTTTGATTTTTTGAGGCATTTTTGTAAGTAACAAATGGTATACTTTTATGAGAGGAGAGAAATATTTTTAACTTTGAGTGGCAACTTTGTAATTGACGAATGACATACCCATGTAGGAGGAGAAGAAATTTCTTTGAGTTTAAGGGGCATTTTGCAATTTTCATTTTATTTTGAGGGCCACCTTTTTGCAAAGTTTTGAAAAAGATTATTCTTGTTATGCTTCTATTATTTTTATAATATTAATGTACTTTTAGAATTTAAATAGCATGATCCCACTTTAATCAAAATGGAATTTCCATTTGAAATAAAATTAAACAAACGAAATAAATAGAATTTTTATTGATTCAGTTTTAATAATTTTATTGAGTACTCCATATATTCTTATTCTTTAATAATTTTTCTTTTCACATGCAATATTTCAATTTATTTTATCATCATTACAAAGTTATAATCTTTTGCTATTCTTTCTTCTTCTCCTTTTTCTTAGTTTGCTTTTTGTTTTTGTATTTAAATTTAGGGAGGTAATTGCCTCTAACCAAATATAGTCATATACATTATTTTTTAAATTAAGTTCTGTGTAGATAATTGGTTTTAACATTTTCAAATAAACACTAATTTTCACTTGGCTACCAGAAAACATAGCTTTGACAATAGAATTCA